GTCAAGTTGGGAATTGATAATTTCTTTTTTTTTTTTTTACAGAAGATCAGTTTAGTATACATTAAGTAAAGATTTCAACAGTTTGCACCCCCATAGAAACACAAAGTGAAATATACTGTTTGAGTACTCGTTATAGCATTAAGTCTCAATGTACAGCACATTAAGGACAGAGATCCTACATGAGGAGTAAGTGCACAGTGACTCCTGTTGTTGACTTTACAAATTCACACTCCTGTTTATGGCATCAGTAATCTCCCTATGCACCAGTCATGAGTTTCCAAGGCTATGGAAGCCCCTTGAGTTCTCTGACTCTTATCTTGTTTAGACAAGGTCATAGTCAAAGTGGAGGTTCTCTCCTCCCTTCAGAGAAAGGTACCTCCTTCCTTGAAGACCTGTTCTTTCCACTGGGATCTCGCTCACAGAGATCTTTCATTTAGGTTTTTTACATCTTAAGACACTCATTGTTTTCTTTGCTGTTTGTTCCTCTTAAGCTAATGTCACAGCCTCTGTTATCACCCCGCGCTTTAACTTGGCTTTCTAGCTGCAAATGGCTTGGACATTTGCACGTGGCTATCCTCCTACTGCCCCAAACCCGATGTTCCCAGAAGAAAACTCATATTCCCATCCTAGGTTAAGGACACACCTGTCAACCTAGCCACGAAACTGAGCACCCTGTGAAGCTTTCCCCCTTTCTCTTGTAAACATGTGTCGGTAGTCATAGACTTATACCAGAATTATTTTGCAGAATCTTTTAAATCTGCTGCTCCAGGGCTCAGGAATGCGAGGCGTCACTGCTGGAGGTGGTCTAGCTCCCGTCTAGCAGAGTTGCTCTGTGTTTTTTTTCAGTCCATATAACACATTCTCATCAGTTCTGTCTTCCTGGGACTCAATCCAGATATGTCATTCTCTCGTTCAACAAAAGGGGCAAGTAATGATACGTCAAGGATTGAAAGTTGGATAGAGACTAAAAAAGTCATAGAAGAATCTTATATGTCATTCTATATGTATTTGGTGAGAATCTGGAAGAAATTGATGCTTCCCTAAAAAATATAAATTATTACAGTTAAACGCATAGAAAATCAACATATCAATAATCATGGAAGACATGGAGAAGGTTTGCCATTTTGGTGTTAGTTGCTGCAGTGGAAAAATGCACACTCACCCTCCACCAGTAATGAACCAATCGTAAACAGATTCCGCTGAGTAGATTGGGCCAGATAAAGCAAGGGCGTGAAACCGGGCAGCCTACTTCCTGTGTCTTTTAAATCAGCGAAGTTGGGGTTTCTTTTGCTATTTTTATTTATTTATTTATTTTTGGCATGACTTTGTGCACTGAGAGCCTCCAGGTGGCAGCGTTTTCCTTTGCAAGGAGGTGCTCTGTGTGCGGTGTTTGCTTTTTGAGGCACAACAGCACCCAAGAGTCCGCTGCCAACAGGGTTGAGGACGGGTGACAAGGCGGCAGATGTGTTTCACGATGTTCTGACCTTTCTCACTCTTTTCTAATTTCCCAGCCACAAAGAAGCTCTGTAAATTGACGGTTCAGGTAAGCAGCTTCCCGTGCAGTCATTACAGGAAGAGGCATTTTATCCTAACTGCATTTGTACCACTCCAGTCTCATAGCTGCTTTTTCTCTTCCCAACACACCATTTGTGCAGGACTAATTTTTATTTTTCATCTTGGGAAATAGGCAGTGAAGAATCGATATCACAATATTGCAAGAGCATCAGCCCTGGCCCATGGTGCTGAAATGGACTCCCTCTTGCCTCTTTTAGAGCTGTCGCTGCATCACGTCACCTCCTCGTCCTAGTCATCCTATGGCTTCTCACAACTAAAGTCAATTCAGCTTTGTGGAATGACACCCAGGCCCTGCAGCATCTGGTCCTCTCCACTTGCCTGACCTGTTCTGTCACTCTCCTTCTTGCCTGCTCACTTTGTGCTAGCCCCCTGGCTCTTGCTCTTCCTTGAACATAATGAGCTTGCTCCACCTCAGGGCCTTTGCACTGCCTGTCTCTGATCTTTGCATGGCTCACTTCCTCATGCAGGTCTCTCTTCTGGTGCCACTTCTTCATACAGAGTCCTTCCCTGATCACTGCCCTATTCTCCCTATCTATCCTTCCCCTGCTCTTCACCCCCTGTTCTACCTCATTGGAAGAATGAAAGTACCTGATTGTTCATGGCCTGTTTTTGTCAAGGCGTTTAACCTGGTGGTTGAGATGTCACATCTCATATTGGATGGCTGGTTTCCAGCTTCCCATGTGCAGACCCTGGGAGGTAGTGGTGGTGGTTTGAGTAGTTGGGCTCCCACCATGCATGTGGCATATCTGAACTGGATTCCAGGTTCCTGGCTCCAGGCTCCAGCCTCCACCCAGTCTCTGCTGCTGTAGGTATTTGGGGAGTGAACCAGCAGATAGAATCTCTTTCTCTCTGTCTTTCTGTTTCAAATTAAATTTTAAAAATCAACAAATTCCATGGAGGATTGAAACTTTGTATTGTTTATTCCTATTTCCACTGAGTCTAGAAAAAACACCTGATATACATTATAAGCACAATAACTAGTTGCTAAATGAATGAAGCAAAAATTCAATCAACGTGACATCTGTTTGCTCTCTTTTGACATGCTGTAAGGTAGAGACTTGGAAAGTACAAGGATTTCAAAAAGATTTTGGAAAAACTGGAATTAAAAGACAATTTTGTTTTGGTGCAAAACATTTTGCAATCCATGCATACGATGCGTCTTTGTAAAGTTTATGGAAAACGTGTTATGTAAAACTATACATGGCTTTCAATTTTTTTGCACCAAAATAAACTTCTAATTCAATTTCATTTTTCCATAAACTTGTTTTAGTGCCTGCACAGCAGTGGCGACCCTAATAGGATAGTCTTAGAGACTCAAACTCACTGACATTTTTAGATACCCATGATTCTCTACATTTAATTACTTCTTCAACAGATATTTGATTATAAGAATTTTCCTTTAAGTTGTCTCTAACACAAAAGTGGTCAGATAAATGTTAGCAGCTAAATATCTTTAGCATTTAACATTTCCATAATAAAAACAGTGAAATTAGCATCAGATTCCTCTTTAGTGGAATGGTGGAATTCATTCTTAAGTGAAGTTAATTTTACTGAGGAGTTATATAAGTTGCAGAAAGAACTTGTCACCTATGCCAGAAAAGTCTCTGCATTACTAATCCTATTTTGTCTGCGAAGCAGCTCTGAGGCATAGAATATTCAGGCAGTAAAAATAAGAGTGTAAATAATTAGGATGTAAATTCAATTACAGCTGTGTCCCTATTTTAGTTCTGTTTTTGGTAATAGCAATATACTCTGTCCTCAGTTTATACAGGGAATTACCTTGGATGTAAGCATGTACAAAGGGAAGGTCTGAGAATTTCTGGGTAAATGAAAAGCCTTTCATTAAACACTATTCCCATTTGAATGTATCTAGTTATGCTCACAATATTTGATTCAGTTTTACAATTCATAGAACCACCAAATTAAAATTATAATAAAATGATTTACATCATACTCTATCCTGAAAGATATTAAAATAATTCCCTAAATTCTTTTTTAGTAACAACAAACAATCTTTAAGCTGAAATACATTACATACTTTCTGTGTAGAATTGAGGACTTAATTTTTTTTTAAAGATTTGTTTATTTATTTTTATTTGAAAGTCAGAGTTACAGAGAGAGAGGGAGAGAGAGATCCATCAGTCCACCTCCAAAATGGCCACAGATGGTCAAGGCTGGGCCAGGCCAAAGCCAGGAGCCAGAAGCCAGAAGCCAGGAGCCAGGAGCCAGGAGCCAGTGTGGGGAGCAGCCCGGACTGGACTGAGTTACTGGAATTAAGACTTATTCTATGCATCTGCTCTCCCACAATATGGCGTTGGGAGAGAAGTAAACAGCTTCCGCACAGCTGCCTCCAGTTCAACCAATAAACTGTAGGACTTGCTACTGATTGGAGGAGAGCAGCGTACTCGGCGTGTGGGCAGCTGAGTTAGGATTGGCGGAGGAGGACTATAAAGGAGGAGAGAGACGGCATGCACCAGGAACATCTAAGGGGAACATCTAAGGGGAACACCTGTGCAGCCCCCGAGAAAGCCGGCTGGCGGTGTGCCGCTCCCCTGCGGAAGTGGGGAATGTGGCCAGGGGGAACCGCCCTTCCACGGAGGTGGAAGGGATAGTAGCCAACCCGGGAAGAACCAGCAGCAAACCTGGGGAGGGCCGAGCAGACGAAAGAACAGCGCAGGGTCCTGTGTCGTTCCTCCACGAAGAGGGGGAGCGACAGCCAGGAGCCAGGAGCCAGGAGCCAGGAGTCAGGAACTTCCTCCAGATCTCCCATATGGGTGCAGAACCTCAAGTACCTGGGTCATCCTCTGCAGCCATTCCCAATCCATCAGCAGAGAGCTGGATCAGAAGTGGAGCAGCCAACACATGAACTGGTGCGCCTATGGGATGCTAGAGTCACAGGTGTTAGCTTTACCCACTAGGCCACAACACCAGCCCCACGAGTTAGTTTTTTATAATATCTCCCTGAGTGTCCCTGTCTGTCACTTTTCTAAGTGCCCATTAGCTTATTCCTACTTTTTTATTACAAACAATTTTGATTATTTTGTTTATGCTTATCATATTATAACCAATAATAGCATCTACTATCTATTAAATATTTACAATGTGCTAGGCTCTGTACCCAGAAAATTCAAGTTACTTGATTAATACTCATAGCTAGTCTGGATCCCAATCACCAGTTACAGCCACTTTTCAATGGGAAAATGGGCTCCACCTTTTAAAGCACTGACTGACAAATGAAGCCTCTTAATAGGATATATTTATAAGTAGGAGACTTTCTGAACGAGGTGATTGCAACTTTTAATGAATGGAATCCTTTATAGCGTGACAAATTGAATCCAATGAGAACAACTTGTGTGTGCAGGAGAACACTGAAGCATTTCACATTCATCACCCCACGGCGTTCTTGGCATTCAAAGATAGGAGGCTCCTTCCAAAAATTCATGTAAAATTGCATTATCTATGAATTCCATTTCTCTGCAAACATTTCGAAATACTCTCATATTCCTGCTGACGACGCTGTTCTCTGTGTGCTTGCAAAACTCCCTAGTCTGCTGCATTCATGGCTCGCAGTGACTTCCACTTAGGAGCCTTGCCCAGGTGAATCTGGGCTCTGGACTGTGAGGTGACAGCGTGCTTTGGTAGCAAGGTCTCTACCCTTTATGCTAATGGTTGCCTCTGTCCACGTGTCCACGTTATCTCTGATTGCCACACTTTTCTGTTGCATTGATAGGACTCAGAGAGCCTACTGATATTTTTCAGCTCACTCTTGTCTCCCTCATCACAGGTGAGTTCCCCATAAGGAAGATGTCCACAGAGACTCAAAATGCCCTCAGAGTCACCTCGCAGTGGGAGGGAGTAAGTACTGAGATGCATTGGTCGTGATTATTGTTCCTTGTCAACTTTAAGCACCACACTTGTTCCCAGGAGGGAACCCCGAAGATTCTCACACCTCGATACCCTCCTCATCTGTTTCTCCAGGTGCATTTGGTGATGCCCAAGGTCAGGGTGCAGGACTCTGCATGAGACTTTCGTGTGTTCTCCGTTTCTTGAGGGTTAATGGTGAATATAGGAAAGCAACAAAATATGACTACTGTATCAGGTCTGTATTCAGCCTTGAAGCAATTTGCATTTTTATGTGTTGACTTGGTCCAGTTTGTATGATATGAAATCAATGAGAAGAGAACTGTGTTGGCAAGAAAAGTGCCCGGTGAAAAAAGATGTTTTCTTAGGCCACATATGCCTTTAAACATTGCTATTTAAAAGTTTGCTATTTCCTTGCAAAGAATGTGATTACAGCATTACAAGGAAGATATTGTGGTTGTACAATAACTTTCGTTCAGCCCTCTTGAAGCAAATATGTACGTCTAGGGTAAGTACGAACACATCATATAATGAGAAACTAAGAAAAAGGGTGTAACACCAGAGATTGGGAAATCAGAGAAAGGTTGGCCTTTGGCAAGCTTTTAAGCTATTCACTTTTGGATAGCATTATACAGCATGAGTTCCTGTCACAAGAACAAAATTATTAGAGGATGGCAGTATAGTATTAAAATAATTTAATGAAGTTTTTTAAACTGAGATAATTGATCCCAGTTTCAAGGAAACGATTAGCGACACCTCTCATTTGATGGCTGCTCTTAATATTTTTTGTCTTCCTGTTCATTATCAGACTTTTATCTGTGGCATGGTACAACTGCCAGAATGTCTGCATCTAGAAGTTGCTCCTTTTAATTTCTTACTTCTCTCTGCAATGGAGAGGACAACCGAATTTCCTCTAAAGACTGAACAGGCTATGAGTGAGAGAGAGAGAGTTTTCTCTTTATTTTATTTCAGAATTATCTTAATTACACATATTTATGGGGTATCATGTGATAATTCAACACATGTATTCAATGTGGGATGCTTCAATCAGATTAGTTAAAAATTCTATCTCCTTAAACATTAAAAATATTTTTTCTAACAAAACAATTATATCTATTTATGGGAGCACCCTGTATAGTGCAATAAAATATATGAAGTGTACTTATCAAAGCAGGTAAGTAATGTTTTCCTCTTCCTGTTAGTCTCTGTTTGAAGATTGGGAGCTCCGATCTTCTATTAATCATTTAAAAAATTTTTAAAAATTTTTTTTATTTGACAGAGTTAGACAGTGAGAGAGAGAGAGAGAGAGACAGAGAGAAAGGTCTTCCTTCCGTTGGTTCACCCCCCAAATGGCCGCCACGGCCAGAACTACGCCAATCCGAAGCCAGGAGCCAGGTGCTTCTCCTGGTCTCCCATGGGGTGCAGGACCCAAGCACTTGGGCAATCCTCCACTGCACTCCCGGGCCACAGCAGAGAGCTGGCCTGGAAGAGGGGCAACCGGGACTAGAACCTGGCACCTATATGGGATGCTGGCGCCGCAGGCGGAGGATTAACCAAGTGAGCCACGGTGCCGGCCCTTTTCTATTAATTATAAAACACATGATAGGCTCTTGTGAACTATAGTCATCGCACAGTGCTGTAGAATGCCAGAACTTAGGCCTCCTGTCTTAGAGTTTTTGATACCCATTATCCAGTAATCACAATTCCATATTAGGTTGACTTTTCCTTTTTAGCTTCCACATATGAGAGAGAATCTATATATTGGTCATTCTGTATCTGATTTATTCTACTTTATCTAATGATACAATGTCCTCCAGTCCATCTCTCTTGCCACAAATGAGGAGATATCATTCTTTTTAATGGTTGAATAATATTCTATTGTGTGCATATACCTCACTGTCTTTATCCATCCATGCACTGACAGACCCCTAGGTGGATTCCATACCTTGTCTATTGTGACTAGTGCAGCAAAAAACATGGGACTATAAGTGTCTCTTTCATACTTCATTTCCTTCAGATATATACCCAGAAGTGGGATGGTTAGGTCCTATAGTAGATCTATTATTAGCTATTTGCTGTACTGTTTGCATTGCTACCAACAGTGCTTCCCTTTTCTTCACATCCTTGCCAGTATTTGCCTATTTTTTGTCTTTTTAGTAATCGTCACTCTAACTGGGGTGAGGTGATAGCTCATTGTGCCTTTGATTTGCATTTCCCAATGGCTGGTGGTATTGAATGTGTTTTAACGACTTGCTGGTCATTTGTATGTCCTCTTTTTTTGAGAAATGCCTTTATTTATATAAATATCTGTATTGTCCATTGTTAACTGAATTATTTGTTTGAGGGTGTCTTATTTTTATTTTTTAATTCTTTGCTATTAATTTTTTTGAGTTCCTTATATATTCTGGTCATTAACCTTTTATCACATAATTAATTTGCAAACATTTTCTCCCACTCTGCAGGTTGTCTTTTCACTCTGCTGATTGTTTCCTTTGCTGTTCTGAAGCTTCTTAGTTTGATATACATTCATTTGTCCATGGTTGCTTCTGTTGTCTGTACTTTGGAGATTTATCCAAAAAATTCATTGACAATATCAATATGTTGAAGTGTTTCCTCTGAGTTTATTCCTAGCAGTTTCGTATCTTACATTTAGGTCTTTGATCCATTTTGACTAAATTTTAAAAAAAGATTTATTTATTTATTTGAGAGGCAGAGTTACAGAGAGAGGAAGACACACACACACACACACACACACAGAGAGAGAGAGAGAGAGAGAGAGAGGTCTTCCATCCACTAGTTCACTCCCTAAATGGCCTCAGCGGCCAGAGCTGGGCTGATTTGAAGCCAGGGGCCAGGAGCTTCTTCTGGATCGCTCATGTGGGTGCAGGAACCCAAGTGCTTGGGCCACCTTCCACTGCTTTCCCAGGCCATTAACAGAGAGCTGGATTGGAAGAGGAGCAGCCGGGACATGAACCCACACCCATATGGGATGCCGGTGCCTCAGGCAGAGGCTTATCCCACTACACCAGAACACTAACTCCCTTGAGTGGATTTTTATAGAGTGTAAGAGGAAGGGGTCAAGTTTGAACTTTTTGCACGTGGATATCCTATTTTCCACACCTCATTGATAGAAAAGAATGTTTTTCTGCAATTTATGGTTTTGGTGCCTTTGTGAAAGATCAGCTGGCTGTCGATACAAGGGTTTATTTCTGGAATCTCTAATCTGTTTCTGTTATGGGTACAGCAGGACTTTCTCCCCATAACTCATGGAGATCATTAAACTCTGATGTCTTAATGCTAATAGTTGATGGATTAAGGGTGGACATGTGATCTAATGGTGGTAGCTAGGAGATGAAGCTGGTGGGAAGTCTTTAGGTCAGTGTGGGTGTGCCATCAGTGGGTGATTCTTGTCAAAGTGTTTATTATTATTATTGTTATTATTTTTAAAAAGATTTATTATTTTAAAAGACGGAGTTACAGAGAGTGGTAGAGACAGAGAGGGAGGTCTTCCAGCCACTGGCTCACTCCCCAGATGGCTGCCATGGCCAGAGCTGCGCAGACTCGAAGCCAGGAGCCAGGAGCCTCTTCTGGGTCTCCCACACGGGTACAGGGCCCCAAGGACTTGGGCCATCTTCTACTGCTATCCCAGGCCACAGCAGAGAGCTGGATCAGAAGAGGAGCATCCAGGACTAAAACTGGTGCCCATATGGGATGCTGGCGCTTCAGGCCAGGGCTTCAACCCGCTGCACCACAGCTCTGGCCTCCAAAGTGTTTATTATTTTGAACTTGAGTTCAGGCTAGATTTTTTTTTCTCTCTCTTTCCTAGCTTACCATGTGAGTGGAACCTCTGCACCACCATGATCAGCCTTCATGGAAGCCAAACTATGGGCCCACCTATCCTGAACTGTAACCTCAAACTGTAAAGTGAAATAAACCATTTCTTTCCTAAGAAGCTTCTCTTGGGTATTTTAGTTAAGGTAATGACAATGGACTCATGCAGAAAATTGGTACTGAGACGTCGCATTGTTAGTATTAACCACACCGGAAGATGTGGGGGAGCCTTTGGAATTGGTATACTGGGGAAGCTTGGAAGAGTTTGGAGTGGAGCCTGGGGAAGCCTAGAAAGCAATAAGCTGAGTATTATGGGCAGTTTTGATGGGGCTCTGAAGACTAGAATGCTGTTGGAAATATAGAGGATAAGGATTGCGGGTAGGTTTCAGATGGAAATGAGAATCCTATTGGGAATTGGACCAAGGAGCACTTCCGCTGAACTGGACCAAGGAACCTGGCTGTTTTGTGTCTCTGCCCTGGGACAGTGCATCGGACTTAAAGATGGTGGACTGGGTTGTTTGGCAGAGGAGATGTCAAGGCAGCCAAGTGTTCCAGCTACCCTGGGTGTTGATGGCTGCTCTTAATACATTTACAGTGAGAACCAGGGGTAAAAAGGACAGAGTAAAAGGATTTGGAGAATTTGCAGCCTGATCATAGACTGAATGAAGACAAAGCTGTGTGTTTGGGACAGGAAAATGCCATAGAGAAACTGTTTGCTAAAGATCTAAGCTCAGGCAAAAGGAAGCCATGTGTAATGAGCCAATGTGAGAAAGACCCTGAAGGCATCCCGCATGTCTTCAAGGCTGCTCCTGTCATCAGAGGCCCCTCCAGGAAGTGCAACTTTACTTCAAAGAAGGAGCCCCAGGGCACCCTGCTCACTCTGCACCAGCTCTGGATTTTGGTTGGCTGGGTCCAAGTCTGCCTCTTACTGGTGGCAGACCTTGACCTTGTCCATGTGGTGCTAGCTTTACAGGCCTGCAAAACTCAAGTTATGGCGTCATGGTGATAAAGAGTGGAGACAGACAGATTCTTGATGCAGGCAGACAGAGAGGGATAGGGGGTCTGCGAGGAAGGATCCTGCAGTTGTAGATGATGTTAATCAACCCAGAGTTCCGACCACCAAGGACCTGCCTGAGCACCAGCTTTCTCTGTAGCAAATGAGTTACCCTGGCTCTGACCTCCGGTGACTTACAATGAACACTTCAGTCCTCACTTGGTTAGCGTATCTATGCAAAAAGGGGATTCTGGCAGCTGCTCCCTGAGTGGCCACTGAAGATTTTCATCTTACTGACATATATAGCCATCAATCAGGGTAAGTTCCCCCATTGAAAACATAAAAACAGGGCCCTGCCCTGGGTGCAGCAGGTGAAGCTGCTCCACTTCCTATCCAGTTACTTGCTAATGCACCTGGGAAAGCAGTGGAAAATGGCTCAAGGCCTTGGGCCCCTGTACCCAAGCCAGAGACCCTTACAGCTCCTGGCTCTTGGCTTCCACTTGGCACAGCCCTAACCATTGAAGCTGTTTGGGGAGTGAACCAGTGGATGGAAGATCTCTCTCTGTCTCTTTTTCTGTCTCTCTTTTTAACTCTACCTTTCAAATAAATACATACATCTTTAAAAAAAAAAATAAATAAAAACCCCTAGACACAACATGTTCATTGGCAACTTCTTTCAGGAATGCTGGAAGCTTTCTCTTTAACTCAATAAACTTCCTTCATGTTGTTCCCTCTTTGTTGTCCACGGGCCTCATTCTTCATGATTGCTAGATAAAGTGTCTGGAGGGGAGAAAAAATCTGCAACAATGGGAGCTTCCATTGGGATTTCAAAGGAAAGCCTGCAGTCCCAGGCAGAGTGATGCTGTGGGGATGGGGCGCCTTCATGGAGATATGTGTAGTATATCTCATGAGAGTGGCGCTGCAGGGGATACCCCAAAACAGCAGAGATGCCAGTGATGTTGGTACTGGAGGGAAGGCCGTGGAAGCCGTGGGGTTCGCGCGCGCGAGAGCGGAGTGATAATGCATTATTGGGTCAGGGCATCTGTCAGAACGTCAGAACAGATGAGTCAGAGAGAGAGCACCCAGTCACTCAGACTGGGGGAGAGTGAAGTTACATGGTTGAATGGAGAGAGTACACCTGGGCAGGCCAGGCAGGTGGCTCAGCAGAGAGGCAGAGGGCTGAGCGTGCAGTCCGTTTGGACTCCCTAGGTTTTTAAGGGAGTCTGTTTACCCACCTCCTCCTCTCCTCCAGGACAAAGGATGGGGAGTCCTGGCAAATTCCTCCCCAGATTTGCTGGCACCAGGCAGAGTAGGGGGGCTTTGCTTAAGGCATCTGAGAAGGTTTTATTGCCCCATGTGGTCAGGTAACCCATTTGGTCCTGAGGAGAGAGAATTCTCCTGGGTGCTTTTCTTGAGGGAAGGGCTGGGACCACCTGGGGGGTTATCAGGGTCTGGGCAGGACTTTGAAGTGCAAAATGCTGGGTTTCTGGAGCTTCTGCAGTAGGTGCTGGTCTTCAGGCCTGTCTCAGACACACATAGGCTCAATTTCTGACTTCCTGTGAGACTTCCACCAAGAATAGCTGCCAGCACTGTAGCAGGCCAGCTTGGGAAAGCCACAGATGTCAGTGTGCAGCCTCAGGGAGCAGCCATGCGGGCAAAGACCAACAGGACTGCAGAGGCATGGAGGCTTCCATCTAGATTTTTCTTTTTTTTAGATTTATTTATTTATTTGAACATCAGAGTTACACGGAGAGGAGAGGCAGAGAGAGACGTCCTCCATCTGATGGTTCACTCCCCAGTTGGCTGCAATAGCTGGAGCTGCACCGATCTGAAGTCAGGAGCCAGGAGCTTCATCTGGGTCTCCCACTGGGGTGCAGCGGCCTAAGGGCTTGGGCCATCCTCTACTGCTATCCCAGGCCATAGCAGAGAGCTGGATTGGAAGTGGAGCAGCTGGGACTCGAACTTGCGCCCATATGGGATGCTGGCGCTTCAGGCCAGGGCATTAACATGCTGTGCCACGGTGCCAGCCCCTCCATCTAGATATGAAAAGATGTTTTGGACAATCAGAGGGCCCAGAGAGAGATGAATTTGTCACTGGAGAAAAAGCCGTGGAAGCCATGGAAGCCATGGGATTCTTATATAAATGCAAGAAAGAATTCAGGCTTGAGACACAGAGCAAAGTAATAAGGTTTTATTGGGGATAGAGCATCCATCAGAATGGAATGGACAGATAGAAAGTGTCCAGTCACTTGATCTGAGGTTACATGTTGAATGGAGAGAATATACCTGGGCAGGCCAGGCGGGCAGCTCAGCAGAGAGCAGAGGACAGAGCCTGAAGTCTTTGCTTAGACTCCCTGTTTTGAAGGGAGTCTCTTTGTCCCCTCCCCCTTTCCTCCAGGACAAAGGATGGGGAGCCCTGGAGAAAGGTTTTGTTGGGTGAAAATTAGCAAACTCCTCCCCAGATTTGCTGGTACAGGCAGAGGGACTTCCCTTAGGGCATCTGTGAAGGTTTTATTGCCCCACGTTATCAGAGAGAATTCTCCTGGGAGGTTTCCCTGGGGGAAGGGCTCGGACCTCCTGGAAGGTTACCAGGATCTGAGCAGGACTTTGAAGTGCAAGATGCTGGGCTTCTAGAGCTTCTGCTGTAGGTGCTGGTCTTCAGGCCCTTCTCACACACAAAGGCTCATTTTTAACTTCCTACCTAACAAATTCAATGGGTGGAGTCACTGCAAGGAGCTTCCATTAGGTTAGTGCCTGGTGAAGCTAGAGAGGAGACCTCCCATCTGTGAGAACGGAAACATGGACTACGACCAGCAAAGCTGTAGGGGAGATGCTGCCTGTTGGAAGTCCAGTCTCCAATGCAATGTGAGGATGCCAGACATGGAACTATGGGACTTGAAGCTTGCCCTTTTGTCTTGCTTTGGGCCAATTAATTCTTTCTATTCCTTGTCTCCCCTCTTTGGAATGAAAATACATACCTTTGCCTGCTTCACAATTATATCTTGGAGTATGCAACTTGTTTTTGATTTTACTGCTTCACAGCTAAGAGAGTTTGCCTTCAGTCTCTGAAACTATGGACTGTGGACTTTTAAATTACTGTTGGACTGAGCTTAGACTTTGGAGAATGGAATTGATTGTCTATTGTATGTGGGAAGGACATGTGTTTTGGGGACCCAGGGACATCATGTAATGGATTAAAAAGCAATTGGCTCCCCAAAACTCTGATGTCCTAATTCTAATTATGTGATTCTAAAATGTGTTTGGTGGATTAATGATGGAGGCTTGACCTAATTGTGGCAGCTTGGAGGTGGGGATAGTGGAAGGTCCTTAGATGTGATTGCTCCAGTTTTATCCCTTTTTACTCAAGATTGTGTTGGCTATTAGGGGTCTGTTCTGCTTCCATATGAATTGTTTTTTCTGCTATGTGAAGAATGTTATTGGTATTTTGACAAGAATTGTATTAAATCTGTAAATTCCTTTGGGTAGTACTGACATTTTAACAATATTAATTCTTCTAATCATGAACACATATTTTTGCAATTTTGTGTTTTCTTCAGTTTTTTTTATGAGTGTTTATAATTTTTATTGTAAAGCCCTTTCACATCCTTAGTTAAATTGTTTCCTAGATATTTGATTTCTTTTGTAGCTATTGTGACTGGGACTGCCTTTATAATTTTCAATGAGTTTGTTAATAGTATAAGAAGTGCTACTGATTCTTGTATGTTTATTTTGTATCCTGAAAACTTTTGTTTGTTTATACATTATAGTATTTTTTTTTTGGTGGAGTCAATGCATTTCTATATGTGGAATCATAATCGCTTCTGTATGTAGTATCATTGTCAGGAATATCTTAACTTCTGCTTTTCTTGTTTCTTTGCCTTTAATTTCTTTTTCTAAGAGCCTAGATGGGTTGGTGAAGTCTTTCAGTACTACATTGAATAAGAATGGGGAGAATGTGTATCTTTGCATGGTTCTACATCTTGGAGGAAATGCTTTTAACTTTTCCCCATTCAGTATGGTCTTGTTTGCATGTCATATATAGACTTTATTGTGTTGTGGAATGTTCTTTTTTACACTAAATTTGTTCAGGTTTTTAGTAATGAATGGGTGGTGAATTTTATCAAATGCCTTTTCTATGTCTATTGAGATGATCACATGATATTTATCTTTCATTCTATTGATGTGATTTATTACATTTATTGATTTATATCCATTGAACCATTATTGCATCCCTGGGATAAATCCACCTTGATTGTGGTTAATGATCTTTTTGATGTGTTGTTGGATTCAGTTTGTCAGTATTTTATTGAGAATTTTGACATTTATGTTCCCCAGGGATATTGGTTCATAATTTCCTTTTTGTTGTTGTTGTGTTGTTTTGGGTTTTAGTATCAGGAAAATGATGGTCTCATAGAATGAGGTTAGAAGATTTCACTCTTTTCCAATTTTTTGGAATAGTTTGAGTAGAATTGCTTTTAGTTCTTCCTTAAAAAGCTTGGTAGAACTCTGTAAAGCAGCTATTCAATTTTAGTCTTTTCTTCGTTGGGAGACTTATTATTGATTCAATCTCACTTCTTGTTATTGATCTGTTCAGGTTTTCTATGTCTTCAAGATTCAATTTTGGCAGCTTGTATGTGCCCAGAATTTATCCATTTTTCTATATTTTCCAATTTTTAAAACAGATTTATGTATTTCTTCGAAAGACAGAGTTACAGAGAGAGGGACACACATACATCCAGGGAGAAAGAGAGAGAGAGATAGAGAGAGAGAGAGAGATCTTCTTTCTGCTGGTTCACCTTCCCAATGGCCACAATGGCTGAGGCTGGGCCACATCAAAACCAGGAGCCTGGAACTCCCACATGGGTGGCATGGACCCAAACAATTGGGCCATCTTATTTTGCTTTCCCAGTACATCAGCAGGTAACTGGATCAGAAGTGGAACAGCTGGGACTCAAAAGAGTGTCATATGGTAGGAGGTGGCTTAACCCAGTGTGACACAGCATGGGCCCCCAGGTTTTCCAACTTTTTAAAATATTTTTTATTCACTAACTTGAGAAGAGAGAGAGGGAGAGTGAGTGTTCTCATCTGCTGGTTCACTCACCAAATGTCTGCAGTTGCCAGGGCCAGGTCAGAACAAAAACAGGAGCTGGGAATTGGATCCATGTCTCCCACATGAGTGACAAGAACCCAATTAGTTGGCCATGATCTGCTGCCTCCCATGGTGGACATTAGCAAGAAGCTGGAATCAGGAGCAGAGCCAGGAATAAAAATCCATACGTTTTGTTATGGAATGCAGACATCACTGGCATCTTAACCACCGGCCATATGACTTCCAATTTTTGGATACATACTTGCTTATAATATTCCATAATTATCTTTTATATTTCTGTGGTATCAGTTACAATATTTCCTTTTTCATCTCTGATTTTATTTATTTGGTTCTTGTCTCTGTTTTTCTGGTTTGGTCTACCTAAAAATTTGTCAGTTTTGTTTAGATTTTCAAAA